TTTTTTTTTTTTTTTTTGATATTTTCATCCTTATTTCCACATTTTATTGCGCAAGTAGTCATTTTCACCAATTTTCTTAATTAAAAGTTGTAAAATAACAAATATACAATTTTGTTTAAATAAAACAAAAACTAAAAGAAAGAATTAATTGCAATAATAGTCTCAATTTTTTTTAAAACAAAGTGCAAATGAATTTCAAGTAAATTATTGAAGGATAGTTAGCACATAATGTCCCCATCTTTCTCTATGTACCTTTCATTTATTTATTTTTTGCACTTTACACATTTGATTGTACAAACCATTCTTTCTATCCATTTTTATCTATTTCCTCAATAAAAAATTGTAAAATGATGAATATGTCATCTTATTTAAATAAAAAAAAATAAAGAACTAATTGCAATTATAGTTACAATTATTTAAAAAAAATGCAAACAAGTCTCAAATATATTATCAAAAAAATTAAAAAGTGCAAACGAGTTCCAAATAAATTATTAAAAATTAGAAATTAATTTTTTTTAAATACAAACAAGTCCCAAATATATTATGAAAAAATTAGAAATTTAAAGAGTGCAAACGAGTTCCAAATAAATTATTAAAAATTAGAATTTTTTTTTTTAAAAAATTCAAACAAGTCCCAAATATATTATGAAAAAATTAGAAATTTAAAGAGTGCAAACGAGTTCCAATAAATTATTAAAAATTAGAAATTATTTTTTTCAAAAAAATGCAAATGAGTCCCAAATAAATTACTAAAAAAATAGAAATAAAAAAATTTAAAAGTGAAAACGAGTCTCAAATAAATTATTAAAAAACAGAAAATTTAAAAAATAATTTTTTTCATTTATATAGTAGGGTATATTCGTCATTTCATAATTTTTTATTGATAAATTTGATGAAAATTGATAAAAATGATCGTTTGCGCAATCAAATGCGTAACTAAGGGTGCAAATGCCGAAAATGAAATGTATGAATTTTTCACAGTAATAGTGAAATGTAGGGGCATTATGTGCTAATTATCCATTTAATAATTTTTTTAGAACTTGTTTGCACTTTATTATAAATTTTGAGACTATATTTACAATTAGTTCTTTTTTTTTTTTTTTTTTGTTTTATTTAGCACATATTTAGCCCCTGTTTGGACCACATTTTTATCTCATTAAAATGAAGTTTTCTTTATTTCTTCGCATATTAATGTGATTATGCCCCCGTTTGGACCACTTTTTTATCTCATTAATTTGAAAAATATGATCGTTATCCATCACATCAATATTTAAATTTAAATTTTATATTTCTTGTGTGGGTCCCAATAACGACTATATTTTTTATTTTCATTCTACAATAAGGTGGCTCAAACAGTGCCTTAGTAGGGATTAAAATCACATTTTTAATAGATTTTGATAGAAGTCGATGAGATATCTGATTGAAAAGTTGTTGTACCCATAAAATATGCGATTAAAATGAAATGTTGAATTTGACTTAAATTAAAATTAAAATTTTAATTGGTACCAAACAGGGGCTTAAATAGAAGGGTATAATCGTCATTTCATGACTTTTAATTGAAAATATTGATGAAAATGATATTTTAAACCATGAAATATCAAAATATCAAAAAAGGTAAGGTAAGAATATTTGAAAGATAATGAGTGCTAATTACCTTTCTTTCTTGAATAACTTAAAAGACTTCAACATAGTCCCCAGCCGAAACCATTGCACTCCACAAGTGAACATCTTTATTAGGCGTTTCTTCGAACAATTTCCACGCGATCCTCATATCACAAGCCAAGAATACACCTACAAGGGCCGTGTCGAACCAAAATTTTCGGGTTTTTAATAAATAAAACCATCGGGTCCAAATATAATTATGGAATTGTTCGGGTTTGGGTTCGGTTCGATTCGGTTCCGTACCATAATTAATTTTTTTTAACATTTACAACAATACTACATAAATACAACTAATAACATGTTCATTTGTAACTTCAATGGGCAGTTGGAGAGAGGAAGTCGGACTCGGCAATCGACGGCTTCGATTTGCATGTAGATGTAGGTTTCCAATTTATCAAATGATTTGGAGTTAGTGGACTGTGCTTACCGAATGAAAGTATGAAATTAGAAAGGGAAGAATAAAAAGTCTAGACCTTGGGCTAACAATAAAATTAATAATTGGGCCAAAAAATTAAAAAATATTGAATTTAAAAATTAGGTTGTATTGGATTGGACTAGTTAGGTACAAACTTGGCTTGGAAGTTGGAGCAATAATCACTAAAATAGTTAATTTATTTAGAAAAATTAAAATAATTTAATTAATTCCATATAAAAAATTATTTAGATTCGATTTTTATTCGATTTTTGTTCAAATCGAACCGAACGGTTCTTTATAAGTTAAATACTCGAACGGATATTTGAATACTCGTACTGATATTTGAATCAAAACGCATTCGAATCCGTTCGAGAGCTTCGTCCGACCCAACTGACACTTCCAGCTCCACAAATCCCATCTTTGATCACGCTAGTACTGTCTGCTAACATCACAAAACCAACTCTTCTACTATCAAGAACATTATTTTACAGCGGTTCATTCAGCATTTCTCCAATATGTATGCTCAAACCCTTCCATTAACCAAACATATAGTGTACAATCCACTAGCAAATCGAGGTGAAAAATTGTTGTTTGCTCCGATATTGAAATCTGGGTTTTGTAATTCAGCCAAAAGGGTGTTCGAATCAAGAATCAGTTTGAGAAATTATTCTAAATTGGGTGGGGTCAGGTGTGGAGGGGGAGCACATACGGAACAAGAACAAGAAGAGCAACATGATGATGGGTATTATATTAGGAGGTGTGTGGAGCTTGCTAGAACTTCAATTGGCTACACCAGCCCTAATCCTATGGTGGGGTGTGTGATTGTGAAAGATGGGAAAATTGTTGGTGAAGGGTTTCACCCAAAAGCTGGCCAACCTCATGCTGAGGTAACATACACTTGTTATTCTGTCATTTTGTCATATATGTTAAGGGCAATGTATTTTACCTTTATGATTTGGGGTTTTGAGTAAGAAGCTGGATGCTTTTGGCTTGTTACATTGTATTCTACTCAGGACCTGTGGGCAATGTCGATCCTTTGAAAATTCCTAGCTCATCTGTGCTTTGGCTTGTATATAAGAGGTGAATATCTGTTTCAATTTCAAATGTTTTTGCTATAGACACTGCGTTAAATAATATGGAATCGGCTGTATTTCGTTGCTATATCTACTGGAGATCCAAAGCAACTAGATGACTCATGTCATAAGATTTAAGAAAGATTTATAATGGCTATTATCCTGCAACAACCCTCCTTAACCGGGAATAGGGTCGGCTATGAATACTGTAGGTGGAGTTAAATACTTTTTATTCTTTTAGATATGTTGGGATTTTTCCAGTTATATAAATGCGATTCGAACCATGTAATGGTGAGCATCCATCTTAGATTTGATTAGTTTGATCGAAATTGTTAAAAGATTAAAGAATAATGGTTTTCTTATATAGTTCTAATTCTATGTTTAGGAACAGATATCCAGTGGGTGTGTGGTAGGGATTAAAATTAGATTTTTCTAATTTTAGTAGATTGTAGAAGTTTTTGACATGTGTGGTTGAAAAGCTATGGGAACCATGAAAGATGTGGTTAATATTGATTGTTTGACTTTAACTTAGATTAAAATCTGATTTTAATCTGTAACAAACAGGGCCCCAATCTGAAGGCTGGTGCTGTTATTCATAAATCCTGAATCAATGGATTAAATTAGATTAATTTTCATACAAATATATTTACAAAGATGCTTTCAAATATTTTTACTAAGAAAACTGCAGGTTTTTGCACTAAGAGATGCTGGGGATTTGGCAGAAAATGGGACAGCATATGTGAGTTTGGAACCATGTAACCATTATGGGAGAACTCCACCATGCACTGAAGCACTAATCAAGGCCAAAGTGAAAAAGGTGGTGATTGGTATGGTGGATCCTAATGCCATTGTAGATTCAAAAGGGATTAGGAAACTGCGAGATGCAGGAATTGAAGTGACCGTGGGAGTTGAGGAAGAACTGTGCAAAAAGCTTAATGAAGCCTATATCCACCAAATGCTGACAGGGAAGCCTTTTGTTACTCTGAGGTACTTCTCACTAATAGCTACTCTCCGAAGAGATGTTTGGTACACAGTACTAGAATAGACAAGATCGTAACTTCTTTTTCTTTCTTAATAGTATCGCTAACTATTCAAACCATCTTACGATACATACCATTAGTACGTGTTTGGTTCATAGTACTAGACATGACTAGACAACGTAATGAACAAGGTTTAGGGCCTGTTTGATGTAGATTTTTTGAGAACAGAGTGAAATGTGATTTTTTTGGAGATTGTGTCGTAAAAAAGTTGGGAAAAGTTATTGGTCCATATACAAAAACTATTTTATTGGAAAAGTATGTTTTGAAAATGAGTTTTAAAGAATTTGTACCAAAAGTGGCTTAAATTTCTTTTTCTTTGTTAATATTTCCGGTCATGTTTGATCCATCTATCAACTATTGCCTTTTCATTGAACTCTGTTGATAGCTTGATTATCTTGCCAGAGAACTCGGGGTTGTTTTTGTGTTTCTTTTATTGAAATTAAAATACATGTTCTACTATGTTTAGCTGAATACAGGATTGCATTATAGGTACTCGATCACAGTCAGTGGTCATCCTCTTGATCAGCTTGATGATGAAGTCACAGAGCGTGGTGGCTACTATTCGAAGTTGTTGCAAGAACATGATGCAATCGTTCTTTCTTCTACATCTTCATTTACTGCATCCAAGGAACCTGGGGCCAATCAACCTCTTCAGATTGTGTTATCAAAAAATCCAAATTCCCAAATTCAAACTCCCAAACCTACTGATGATTCCACTTCTAAAGTCATAATCTTCACCGAGAAAGAGATGAATGTAGAGCCAGAAACAAATCAAAAAGGAATTGAGACCGTAGTTTTTGATAGGATAAGTCTGATTTCAGTTCTGGAACATTGCAAGCATCAAGGATTGTGCAGTGTCTTGCTTGATTTAAGAGGGGATTATGCAGATTTTGAGGATATACTAAGAGAGGGTTTCGAACAGAACTTCTTCCAAAAATTGGTGGTGGAGGTGTTGCCAATTTGGCGTGGAAGTGAGGAAACGTCTTTGAAGCATATCTATGTAGAAAAACGGGTGAAGAATTTAACATCCATGGTCTCAGGTAAAAGCATTCTGTTGGTGGGATATTTCGGATGAAATTGTCTGGACTCATGGCAAGTGAACTCTCTGAACTACCAACAATTTGTTTTCTGCTCACGAGTTGGAATCTCTACCCCTTCTAGAGCTGGATCAATTTGGTCTTCAATGGCATTTTTATCGAAAAGATTCATGTTGCCGTGGTGTAGGGGACAACTTTCTATGGTTTCTTATTTTCTTTCCATGTGTAGAGAATATGGTAGTAGCTACAATTGGTATTACTCAACATTCTTGGAATCCTTATTTGCTAACACTATGGATGATGATCCGTTTCTTTTTTCAAGAACCAATCTTATTTTATTCCAATTCTTTAAAGATCAGGGGAAATATCAAATTTGATCCCAAACTGATGGGTTAGTGTCACGAAAACCATTTCTTAAAGCACACTAAGCATAAAAAGGAAAAGAATGGGTGGATCCTTTGATTCATTGTTCAATAGAGTTGTAATGCATTTTAATGAATCGAGAGTTCACTGTTACTTAAATTAGCTTGATGAATAACATTATTGTTCACCAATGCACTACTATAAACTAAAAGGTGCTAATTAGGGCGTACCCATCAATCTCGGCAAGGTGGACAACGATGGCGACCGTCTGTCAGTATAAGGTCATGATACGAGGTTCTTTCTACATAAATTGTTAGAACGATTCAAATTGAATTGACAAAAGACACTTTAAGACAGTATAATTGACGTCCTCATCCAGACACGAAGACGATTATTTCAACTTACAATTGTGCACAATTGACATGATTTGAAGCTTCTATTAGTACTTTGTGAGGTTTGATCAAGTTCTCTTCGGAATCGAAACGTCTCATGATTCTTAACATTACTATAGCAATAGCATGGTACATCCACTGAAGCACAAAGTATAACATATTCCACTTCACACATGGCCCATGCAATAAGCGCTGTAAAAAGAAAAAACGAAAGTAACTCAGCCTTGCTGCATATGCGCGCCACAAAACCCAAAGGTACCCAAACTTCAGATCTTCAAATTATTGTCATGGAACTTGAAAGAGCCAGACCATAAAAACTAACTAATGTGGTTGGAGAACTCAAGTCCATATAAATCACACAAAGGAAGCTCATACTTCCGATGTGGAATTCCACTGAAAATAATGAAAAATCATCACGCTTCCGACTCAGAGGTCATGTCCAGCAGGTGCCCATACACACCCTAAGTGGTAATCGAGGCCAGAAGACATGGTGCATGACTAACGTCGTGAAACTTGGAAGAGCTGGCCCACAAAAGCTAACTAACGTGGTTGGAGAATCGCTGTCCATATAAACCTCCCAAAAGAAGCACGTGGGATTCAGAAATCATGACAAATATCCCATATATACAGAGATATCTGTATCTGTGAAATGAGATCTTAAATCGTTATTATCGAAACTAGATTCCAGATAATAATGGGCCGCTTCAATTTGGCATCTTCGAAGCGGAATCCGAAGCAGTGGCGTCTGCTGGACATACTCTCCGCCGCCCTCTTAGCGGCGGTGCTGCTCTTTTTCATGTTAGTTTTCACTCCACTGGGCGGGTCTGGGCGAGCGCGGACATCCGGGTCTGGGTACGATCCCGGGCAACGGGCGAGGGTGGTGGCGCTGCTGGAGTCGGGGAGTCAGACGGCGGCGGTGAAAATTGAATCTTGTCCGGCGGATACGGTGGATTATATGCCCTGTGAAGATCCGAGACATAATAGTCAGCTTAGCCGGGAAATGAATTACTACAGGGAAAGGCATTGCCCAAACCCGGAAGAAATGCCGCTCTGCTTGATCCCGCCGACCAAAGGGTACCGCATTCCTGTCCACTGGCCGGAAAGTTTGTACAAGGTGTGTTACTTAAAGCTTAAGCTGTTAGAGAGTCCATATCATTCGTTTAAATCTTGTCATTAATAAGGTTAAGTTACTGCAACTTACTCCGTAGAATTAGTTATTTGGGAGTTTGGTATAATTTCTCGACTATTTTCAGTATCCTGAGTGCATTTTGGAGCTGAAAGAGAAAAAACGAAATCTGATATTTGGCAATTAAGTTAGGATTTTTAGTACTAATGGTGGTAATTTGCAAATGGTTTTTGTTTTTGTACGTTGTGCCAAGTTCATTTAAAATTTCTAAAAATACTTTGATCCTGAATGACTTCGTTATTTACTCATTTGATTAGCTCGTTTAGTGAGTATAATGCTAAAATTGTGGTGAGACAGTGAATTTGTATTCTGCTTATTATGCCAAATCTACGTTTTTTAGTTTTCGTAAGTTTTTCTTCAGCGTTAATGCTCAAGAAATAATATTTAATTAGGAATTGCTTGTAGACTTAATTATATTTATAGCAAAGACCCCATTGATTTTGCTCTCCTTCTTTCCTTTTTTACCTCCAGGGGGTGGTGGTGGTTAAGTAAAGTACACCTGTCATTGTTGAAGTGAAAGCTTGTGGATCACAGTACTTAATTTTCTTTTAATGTCAACTGAGTTGTTGAGGGTAAGCCCCCTTCGTCATAAAAAGTGGAATCAATCGATAGGAAACAATTACCTTTTTTGATGGTTTCATATTTTTGTTCGGGGTGAATAACTGGAAACTGTTCTTGGCACGCCTACTCGAATAATGTTATTTAGCACCATTGATGCTATAATACCAGTTACGTGGCAGTGGCACTAAGTGGCATCATATGTGCCAGTAGATTTAAAGTTTGAATCCATCAGTACAAAGTAGTTTACTTCATTTTTCTTTACTCGGTTCATTTTAAAGCAACATGCTATTGTTTCTGAGATCATATTTTGTTTGTTTGGATGGTGATGTTGAAAGTCTTTAGGTTGGTAGCAAGAGCAGAATTGTCTGTATGCATTGACCCATTTTTTGGAGTGGCGTCAAATAGCCGTTTGTGCTCTAAATTAAAACTTAAAATTTCTTTCATATGTTTGTTTATGGTCAATATATTTGATAGTCGATACAATTATGGAATGCAAGAAGCGTCAATGTGATCTAAAACAGGCTTGATCCTTCATCTTGGTTGTGACATTTGGATAACATAGAAGATCTGAGAATAGATGATTTTCCATTGATTAGGTTGTAATTTTATATAACCAGTTTGCGAGGTACTAAATCAAGAAATAAAACAATAAAATTTCAGATGTAAGCCAGTGAGCTTGAGTCCAGGTCACCACGTGGGTAAAAAGACTCAGTTGATGTGATTCATAGGCTACTGAAATATTTATAAGTTCTTTCACTCTTCCCTGATCAACACCACAAAACCAGACCCAACTCCCTCTACCACACAAATCAGCGTAACACCCAAACCATAACCACCATCCTGCTGCCGCTGTGTACAACAACCAACACCAAACCCATCCGCAACGACCACTCGCCACCAACCGTCCCTCTGCTACCCAAAGTTTAGGTCCTCATTGTCATTCCAACGAAATGATAGAGTTTGCGTGTTCACAACATATTCTTGTCCAGGAAGTCAGTTTTGATACTTGAGTTCAGAAAGAGGAGAACATTATTTCTGTTAGCGGGGGTAGGTGAGAGTTGTGAGCCCATAGTGTGTCCCCTCTTGCGATTACACTTTTATTATACCCAATTAACAAAGTCACTCATGAATTAATGCTCTTCGTCGACACTTGGTTAGAAAGAAAGGTGCAGTTTATCTCTCCAAAGTTGAGTTCCCTCACCTGGGAGAAATGATGGAGATCGATAGAGCCTCTAGTTGGAAAAACATATAAATTATTTATAAATAGTCCAACTTCATTTTCAACCATACATTCCGATGAACCAACAAGTACTATCTACTTATTTACCACTCATTATTTAGCTATTCATAAATCAAACCGTTTATAAATTCTTCCCAAATGAGGCAAAGATTTTAATGGAATCGTTGCCTAGTTTGGATATTTATTTTAGGAAATGTAATTAGTTTTTTTTTTTTATAAAGATTTTCTAGCATTTTAAATTTTATTTCCTTAATTACTAGCAAGTTCATCTATAAGCAGCAGTAATATTTCTTATTGTAAGACAGACGTTGATTATTGAATACAAGATATTTCCCCTCTAATTCTCTTCTCTATCTTTATTCTTATCTCTCTCTCTCTCTCTCTTCTCCCCTTCTCCCGCTCTTCTTCCCTTTTTTCTCTCATTTCTCCTTCTCTTCTTATCTCTTCTTCCCCTTCTCCTAAATCCTGGTTCTTGTTCGATTGCATCCGTCATCACCTAATGAAATGATGGCTCGCTCGCCAGACAGGATGCTTTTTTCATAATTACCTAAGAGAGGAAGTGGAAATGGATCGTTTCTAGTAGCTAGGTAGTGGAGATATTCTGCTACAACATGTCAGCTTTGTTCAGAGTGCCAAAGCACATTATGAAACATTTTCTTACGTTAATTGGCAATGCCCTGAACAAACTGTTCTCAAGTTTTTACTCAGTTTGCATTTAGCAACTTAAGGATCTCACTTTTATTTCATGCTTTTATCTACAATTTATTTTATGTTAACAGTGCCAGGGTATTTGAGTTGACCTTTTACATTGTTTATGTTCAGATATGGCACGAAAACATGCCTTATAACAAAATAGCTGATAGGAAAGGCCATCAGGGATGGATGAAAAAGGAAGGCCGATACTTCATATTTCCTGGTGGTGGTACAATGTTCCCGGATGGAGCAGTACAATATATTGAGAAGCTCAAACAGTATATACCGATAGCTGGTGGGGTTTTGAGAACGGCCCTTGATATGGGATGTGGGGTATGAATTTTGTTCCTCCTTTTCAACTTCTATTGATTATCATATTTGGCTGTATGTCATATTGTTCATTGTGGTTGTAGGTTGCTAGTTTTGGTGGGTACATGCTTGCAGAAGACATATTAACTCTTTCTTTTGCTCCAAGGGATTCACACAAATCACAAATACAGTTTGCTTTGGAAAGAGGAATACCAGCTTTGGTTGCTATGCTCGGCACTCGCAGGCTTCCATTTCCTGGTTTCTCTTTCGATTTGGTGCACTGTTCTCGATGCTTGATCCCTTTCACTGCGTATAGTGAGTTCTTGATAATTCACAGGTCCTTCTCACCTTAGATTCTGTTATCTACTGCATTTATTCATAACAAAGGACTTGGTACTTTGTAGATGCAACATATTTTCTTGAAGTTGATCGGTTACTTCGCCCAGGAGGCTACCTAGTCATCTCCGGTCCCCCTGTACAGTGGCATAAACAAGATAAGGAATGGGCTGAGCTTCAGGCAGTAGCCAAATCATTGTGTTATAAACTCATTGTCGTGGATGGGAACACTGCCATCTGGAAAAAGCGAAATGGGGATTCGTGTCATCCTAGTCAAAATGACTTCAACCTTAGCTTGTGTGATGAATCCGACAACCCAAGTGTTGCCTGGTAACACAAAATTCACAATATTTGGAGTTTGGATTTGCCCTTTTTCTTTCATTATTCTAACAACTTCTGCACGAAAACTATTGCAACAATCAAAGTAAATTTAAATCTCATCATTGAACAATGGCTCTTGCCTTGAAAATCACATCCTTGATAAAAGCTTGCCTTAAACAACTGGTTTTTGTTGATTGGTTTTACAGGTACTTCAAGTTGAAAAAATGTGCGAGCAGGATGTCTTCTGCCAAGGGACTATATGCTGTTGGGACAATTCCAAAATGGCCAGAACGGTTGACTAAAGCTCCTTCAAGGGCCAGTGTGATGATAAATGGAATTGATGAGTTTGAATCTGACAATCGGGGATGGGCGAGGATAGTTGCTTACTATAAAAATTCATTAAACGTACAATTAGGAACTTCCTCCATACGAAATGTCATGGACATGAATGCATTCTTTGGAGGTTTTGCTGCAGCGCTATTATCTGATCCAGTTTGGGTGATGAACGTTGTCCCTGCTCACAAGCCTTATACACTTGATGTCATTTATGATAGAGGTCTTATAGGAATTTACCATGACTGGTAAGTAATTATACTACTTCTAGTCTTCATTTTGCATGAAATAGTGCAATATCGATTGGTGTGTTTTCCGCATTAATTTTTTCGTTAATGGTAGTTTGTTGTCATGATTCAACGTGTCTCCTTCACAGTTGTTTGGTTTCCTCGAATAAGCTAAAATGCACTCTATATAAACCTTTTCTTGAATCACTGATATAGTTTCAATTTTCCTTACCTCAATGAACTCAATTGACTGTCGTGTGCATTATATTTGAACCTTCTGCAGATTTTATGTATTTTTGCTGTTCATTGATATGATATGAATAACACATATAAAACAGAAAAATTATTAGGTAATTGTATTTTAACAGCTGAATTATGTGTATGATGATGCTTTCAGGTGCGAGTCTTTCTCAACATATCCTCGGACTTATGATTTGATTCATGTAGCTGCTATTGAATCTCTAATAAAGGATCCCATCTCTGGAATGAGTAGGTATGATCATACCTTTTCTATGATGTCTTTACTTATTGAGCTTCTTCACCGCCTGAATAATACCTCCAATCACTCTGTTTATTCATATGGTGAATAACTGAATATGCCACATGAATGCCTGTGGACTTTGCTTTTTACTGAAACTTCCTCGTGAAAAAGATGTTTTCATCAATTTCTTCGTCCATCTAGCGTACATGACTTCTGTTGCATGGAGCAATAGTTAATTCTTTTCTTCGTTTCCTTTTTCACCTGCGATCTTCCTACAAAAATATGGTTTTTCTCATGATGATTTGGAACCAATTGATCGCACTGTATAAGGTTCTAGATGGGTGCAATGTTGTTCTCTGTTTACGGTGCTAATAAGCTTGGTCATTCATCGACTTCTGCATCATTTGCCCAACCAATTGTTTTTCACTGTTCTTTGATATCTGCTTCGCTGCACAGCTTCTCTCTCTAAGAACGTGTCTTTATTTGATGAAGGTGAAGGTCATTTTAATGTTATTCATCACAAAAAACACATTTCTTGTGTATTCATCTGCATCTCTGTACTTTTTCACATCATATCTTATTGGACCGGATTATCTTTTGCATTATAACTTGTTTAACCACTTTATCTAAATGCTTAATTTGTCTTAGAGCGAAAGTATTTATATATTTAATGTCTTCAATAAACCCTCTCAGTCAAGATTCATTTTTTATGGAAGGCCTATGACATGCACAATTTTCATAAATGTGTGGCAGTGAGACTTAAACCCAAGAGATTTGCTTGTTTTGATACCGTGTTGAATCCGTTAGAGAGGAAGACATTTATTTATTTAAATTTATGCTTCAACATATTTAGTGCTTGTTTGTCAACCATTATTGAGAAGAAAATGGTGTAATGAATAGTCTTTTTTGGAAAATGTGTGGTTGAAATTGAAAGAAACTTTATCGGTTTATGTGTAAAATTTTTTATTATTTGAATGTGTAGTAGAGATTGATTACTGTAGAAAACAATTTTTTGAAAAATGGTAGACAAACAGGGGCTTAATTACTTAGATAGCCTATGATATAAGTAGCACATTTTTTAGTTGTTTGAGTTGAATGAGCTGCTGCCATAGATAACTGCAAACACCCACTCAATGTGATTTCAGGTGTAACCTTGTGGATGTAATGGTGGAAATTGATCGAATTTTGCGTCCTGAAGGCACGGTTGTGATTCGAGATACACCCGAAGTGATTGCTAAAGCAGATCGAATTGCTCGTGCCATAAGATGGAAAGCTTCTATACACGGGAAAGAACCCGAGTCGCATGGAAACGAGAAAATTCTTGTAGCAAGAAAGAACTTCTGGAAGCTATAGATAACCTTCAATCTTCAATTGGCCAACACATAGTCAGCTGGAATTTCATGCATCAAATGGGACAGTTTTCTATCTCGTTCTTCATTTTTGTTTTGTTTTGCTTAAAAGAGGTAGCTGTAATGGAATGAGGTCAAATATGTAGAAAGATGGAAAGACACGTGATATTTACGGTAAAATTCTGTAAAAATTACATCATAATGCCAATCTTTTGTTTATTGTAGACAATTATTTGGATCGAATAGAATGTCCGAGGAAAATTCGTGTATTTTATAAGAATAAACACTCGCGACATCTCTTTCGCGTTGTAAGCATTAATTATTTTGATGAAAGGGTTCTTATTTTTATTATATTTTGTGAATCGATTTTTCACTTTTAATGGTATAACATAGTTATCGAATTTTTCTTGGGCACCGAGCACACTATGTAATCTATTTTAGCCCCCGTTTGAACCTCATTTTTTCTCATTCCATTACATTAATTAAGCCCCATTTTTTCTCATTCTATTATATTAATTTTCTCTCTCTCTTCATCTCAACCACACATTCTCAAATAAAATAATATTACACACAAATTTAAAACTTTTCCATCACACATTTTCCCATCAATCACTATTTTACAAATTTTCAACCCCAAAAAATGGGGGCCAAACAGGCTCACCTCTAATCAAATTTCAACTCGAGATAAATATATTGAAATTTGACTTGGTTAACTAGGACCCTTAATTTTTATTAATAGTTATATTTCGACCTCCGGAGTATAGCTCAATGGTGCAAATGACATGAGTGAGGTAGTCTCAGTTGAGCTGTCAGCCGCATTGTGAGGGTTCGATTCCTACCTCTTACAAGGTATGAAATTGGACTCTTTATGGACACCAGTATGGAAGCTCTTGTGCCCTAACCTGCTGAAGCACATCTCGCGATTTACCTCCTCCACAATACTTTAGGGGCGGGGCTGGGGTTCAACCTTTATTAATAGTTATATTTCGCCCCTGTTTGATCCACATTATTTTTTTCATTCTCATTATTCTACTCATTTTCAACCACACATTCTTCAATAAAATAATATTTTTCATCACATCAATAACTTTTCTTTCTTTTTTAACCACATATTCCCCAACACATCACTTCAAAAAAATGCATTCTTTCATTTTGATGTGCACCAAACGGGTCATAGTTTTATAAAAAAGTTATTTTATTTTATAGCCTACTTATTTACTTATTTAAGTAAGCTTAGCCGGAACATAATCCGAACTCGTATCATACTACGTTCGGGCTTCGGACAAGCATACAGAGACATTAATCACATGTAACTCATCCTCTCCAAATCTCCAACTTCCACCGTCCGATCAAACGCTTTCCAATATATATCATACAATACATACACATCATCCTTATCGGAAAAGGTAATTCACTGTTCAAATCAATTCTCGGCCGAGACGATGTCGTCTGACAATAACAATGGGGGGCAAACAGGGGCTGAATAACATATATAAAACAGAAAAATTATTAGGCAATTGTATTTTAACAGCTGAATTATGTGTATGATGATGCTTTCAGGTGCGAGCCTTTCTCAACATATCCTCGGACTTATGATTTGATTCATGTAGCTGCTATTGAATCTCTAATAAAGGATCCCATCTCCGGAAAGAGTAGGTATGATCATACCTTTTCTATGATGTCTTTACTTATTGAGCTTCTTCACCACCTGAATAATACCTGCAATCACTCTCTTTATTCATATGGTGAATAACTGTATATGCCACATGAATGCCTGTGCACTTTGCTTTTCACTGAAACTTCCTCGTGAAAAAGATATTTTCATCAATTTCTTCGTCCATCTAGCGTACATGACTTCTGTTGCATGGAGCAATAGTTAATTCTTTTCTTCGTTTCCTTTTTCACCTGCATTCTTCCTACAAAAATGTGGTTTTTCTCATTATGATTTGGAACCAATTGATCGCACTGTATAAGGTTCTAGACGGGTGCAATGTTGTTCTCTGTTTAGGGTGCTAATAAGCTTGGTCATTCATCAACTTCTGCATCATTTGCCGAACCAATAGTTTTTCACTGTTCTTTGATATCTGCTTCGCTGCACATCTTCTCTCTCTAAGAACGTGTCTATATTTGATGAAGGTGAAGGTCATTTTAATGTTATTCATCACAAACAACACATTTCTTGTGTATTCATCTGCGTCTCTGTACTTTTTCGCATCATATCTTATTCGACCGGATTATCTTTTGCATTATAACTTGTTTAACCACTTTATCTAAATGCTTAATCTGTCTTTGAGCGAAAGTATTTGTATATTTAACATCTTCAATAAACCCGCTCAGTCAAGATTCATTTTTTTATCGAAGGCCTATGACATGCACAATTTTCATAAATGTGTGGCAGTGAGACTTGAACCCAAGAGATTTGCTTGTTTTGATACCGTGTTGAATCAGTTAGAGAGGAAGACATTTATTTATTTAAATTTATGCTTCAACATATTTAATTACTTAGATAGCCTATGATATAAGGAGCATATTTTTTAGTTGTTGGAGTTGAATGAGCTGCTGCCATAGATAACTGCAAACACCCACTCAATGTGATTTCAGGTGTAACCTTGTGGATGTAATGGTGGAAATTGATCGAATTTTGCGTCCTGAAGGCACGATTGTGATTCGAGATACACCTGCAGTGATTGCTAAAGTAGATCGAATTGCTCGTGCCATAAGATGGAAAGCTTCTATACACGGGAAAGAACCCGAGTCGCATGGAAACGAGAAAATTCTTGTAGCAAGAAAGAACTTCTGGAAGCTATAGGTAACCTTCAATCTTCAATTGGCTAACACATAGTCAGCTGGAATTTCATGCATCAAATGGGACAGTTTTCTATCTCGTTCTTCATTTTTGTTTTGTTTTAAAAGAGGTAGCTGTAATGGAATGAGGTCACATATGTAGAAAGATGGAAAGACACGTGATATTTACAGTAAAATTCTGTAAAAATTACATCATAATGCCAATCTTTTGTTTATTGTAAGCAATTATTTGGATCGAATAGAATGTCCGAGGAAAATTCGTGTATTTTATAAGAATAAACACTCGCGACATCTCTTTCGCGGTGTAAGCATTAATTATTTTGATGAAAGGGTTCTTATTTTTATTATATTTTGTGAATCGATTTTTCACTTTTAATGGTATAATATAGTTATCGATTTTTTCTTGGGCACCATCGAGCACGCTATGTAATCTATTTTATACTTCTAATCAAATTTCAACTCGAGATAAATATATTGAAATTTGACTTGGTTAACTAGGACCCTTAATTTTTATTAATAGTTATATTTCGTCCCCCGGGACATAGCTCAATGGTGCAAATGACATGAGTGAGGTAGTCTCAGTTGAGCTGTCAGCTGCATTGTGAGAGTTCGATTCCTACCCCTTACAAGGTATTAATAGTTATATTTCGTCCCCTGAGACATAGCTCAATGGTGCAAATGACATGAGTGAGGTAGTCTTAATTGAGCTGTCAGCTGCATTGTGAAAGTTCGATTTCTACCTCTTACAAGGTATGAAATTGAACTCTTTGTAGGCACCAATATGGAAGTTCTTGTACCCTAACCTGTTAAAGCACATCTCGCGATTTACCTCCTCCACAATGCTCCAGGGGCGGGACGGGGCCCTCAAGTTTGGGGTTCAACCTTTATTAATAGTTATATTTCGTCCATGTTTGATCCACATTATTTTTTTCATTCTCATTATTCTACTCATTTTCAACCACACATTCTTTAATAAAATAATATTTTTATTACATTAATAACTTTTATTTCTTTTTTAACCACATATTTTTCAACACATTACTTCAAAAAAAATGCATTCTTTCATTTTAATGTGAACGAAACGGGTCATATTGTTATAAAAAAGTTATTTTATTTTATAGCCTACTTATTTACTTATTTAAGTAAGCTTAGCCGGAACATAATCCAAACTCGTATCATACTATCTTCGGACAAGCATACAGACATTAATCACATTCCTCTCCAAATCTCCAACTTCCACCGTCCGATCAAACGCTTTCCAATATATATCATACAAATATACAATACATACACATCATCCGCATCGGAAAAGGTAATTCACTGTTCAAATCAATTCTCGGACGAGACGATGTCGTCTGACAATAACATTTCCAATTCCAATGCTTCCGTTGATACGACGCCGTTATTGGGCGACCAGATCTTCCGCACGCGCCCCCGCTTCATGCGCCGCGCGCCGAGCCTCCGGGGCGCGTCTCGCCTCATTCGCCAAGTCAGCGGCCGGAGTCGAGTGATGCGGGAGCCGTCCGCTCGAGTGCGCGAGGCTGCGGCCGAGCAAATCGAGGAGCGGCAAAGCGACTGGGCCTACTCGAAGCCTATAGTGATACTGGACCTAATTTGGAACCTGGCGTTTGTGATTGTATCGATTACTGTGATGATCATGAGCCGGAAAGAGTCTCCTTCAGTGCCTTTGAGGCTGTGGATTTTGGGATATGATCTTCAGTGCGTTTTTCACATGGTGTGTGTCTGGATTGAGTATAAGAAGAGGTATTCACAGCGAAATTTGGAGGGGAGCTCAAGGGGTAGTGTTAGGTACAGTAGGAATTACTCGAATTGGAGTTCAGGAAGTGATGAGGTGGAGTCTGGTGATTATGCTTCCGAGGGCCGCCAAAATGATGATGAAACTAGGTATAAATTCTTTGTATTTTTCTCGAATTAGTATTCATATTTGTAGACAGAATTTGGTCGACTTTTGCGATCAAAGTCGTTCTTTTTAGCTATTTTAAATAATTTTGTCTGTAGCAATAAAATGGGTATAATTGGCAGACAGAAAAATGGGTGAATAACATTGCAAAAGTCGAGCCACCCACCACATTTGAATTGGATGCTTGGGAATATCGTGGATTTTGAAGTTTAATGTTATTAAGTGGCTTGATGAATTCCTATCCATTCAATGCAATATTAGATATGAATTCAAGTGTGTAAACTGACCTTTGACTTCATGTTGTTGGAATGATTTTTTCAGTAAATTTGGTGTCTAACCACATAAGCCTGTTGGATTTATATAGGTACATTGCTGAAGTAATGATTTCTGACTTGTTGATGCGGTCAAATGGAAAAGAAATTTTAGGGTGTAATGATTTATCTCTAGTATATTATAGAACTGTAAAGCATAGCAAATTCCAATAGGAGAAAGCGAAACTAGTTGTGTCTCAAAATTCTTGTGCAGACAAGTCGAACTCTTAATTTCTGGAAAACAGCTTACCATAGAGATTAGTACTTGAATCTTTTAATAGTTAGACTCTTGAGGAAGGCGTGGAGGGACACCGATATGACATGCCAAATGAAATGCATCTCTGCTTCAAAAAGACTAGTTTTTTTTATTTTTCATTTAAATGATATAATAGCTTTATGAGCTAAAATAAATTTATTTATAATGTTCAGCGTTGGAGAATGTATTGTTTATTTTTTTCTTGTCGTCGCATGCTAGTCTGAGTGATAAATCTGTGTCGACAGAGAGTGACCTTTGGTATCTAGCTTGCATATTTGGTTAAAAAGTCTTGAGTCATAGATTTGTTTTGTGCTTAGTCTTTTGTTCTTTGGCCTTGACTTCCCCCCATAGAATTCAACATCTCTGATATGTTATGTGTTACTGGTATCTGTCCATTTTGCATATGTAAGGAATATTCTAACTTTTAAATCTATTAGATCTGCATGGGGCAAGCATTAAACTATGAAGGTCTTATATCACAGGTCTGAGCTGAAGAAATAGATAATTAATGACCTCTTCCTACAAATTTATTGCAGCGTTGCTAAACAACTGGAGTCTGCAAATACAATGTTCTCATTTATTTGGTGGATAATTGGTTTCTACTGGGTAACTGCTGGTGGCCAAAGTTTGACTCACGATTCACCACAACTTTACTGGTTTGTCCAAAGTTCCAAACATATCCTCTTCTGTTGAGGCCTCAACATTAATTTGTTTTTCCTCTCCTTTGTTTATTATCCATGCATGGGGTTTTGTTTTGCAGGCTTTGTATTACATTTCTGGCTTTCGATGTGTTCTTTGTTGTTATATGCATTGCTGTGGCATGTGTCATTGGAATTGCGGTGTGCTGCTGTCTACCGTGTATTATTGCAATCTTATATGCAGTAGCAGATCAGGTAGCTATAATTTTAGAATCTCTTACCTATACCTGTAATTTGCCAATAAAAATGTAATGCATTATTTTCTTTCTGTGTGTGGTTGTTGAACTTCTTTGCTGACAGCGCCCAGAGTGCAGTTCAGGTGCATTTGCATCTCGTGGAATTATGCTGTGCTTGATTTCCATAGAACTCAACTCTGATTGTACTAGTGTTCATTGAATAATTATGATCTTGATATGTTCAGGTTAGCAGTGACAAAGACATCTTGATTTTATTACCCTTCTATCATCTTAAATTTTCCTTGTTCCTATATTTCAACATAAACCTCCTGGGATTTTCTTGTCCCTTTTCCCTGTGCCAGGGGGGAGGGGATTGGAAATAATTTGTATACCTATCTTGATCTTTCATAGAGTAAAAAGCAGACCACTCCATGCCGCTTGACGATACCGATAGGGTGGAGCAACTTCCCATATTGATCTTTACCATATATGTGTGTATATATGCAATGGATATTTTTGTGGGTGAGTGGGTATCGGTTCCTGTGACAAGCAATGTGAGAGTTAATATGGATAATGCAGATAGCTTCGTCTCTTCTTCATCCATTTTAAGTAGTTGAAATATTGTGATTTAGTCATATTTTGGGCAATTTACTAATGAAATTTTGAGAATATGGGATCTTTCAGGCGAATGGGAAAAAATAATAAATTAATTCCTGTTCTTCAAGGATCAAATGTGGAAAAACTTCTCCCTTTTTTCCTATATTTCAACATAAACCTCCTGGGATTTTCTTGTCCCTTTTCCCTGTGCCAGGGGGGAGGGGATTGGAAATAATTTGTATACCTATCTTGATCTTTCATAGAGTAAAAAGCAGACCACTCCATGCCGCTTGACGATACCGATAGGGTGGAGCAACTTCCCATATTGATCTTTACCATATATGTGTGTATATATGCAATGGATATTTTTGTGGGTGAGTGGGTATCGGTTCCTGTGACAAGCAATGTGAGAGTTAATATGGATAATGCAGATAGCTTCGTCTCTTCTTCATCCATTTTAAGTAGTTGAAATATTGTGATTAAGTCATATTTTGGGCAATTTACTAATGAAATTTTGAGAATATGGGATCTTTCAGGCGAATGGGAAAAAATAATAAATTAATTCCTGTTCTTCAAGGATCAAATGTGGAAAAACTTCTCCCTTTGTTTTTATATCTATTTATTTGTTAAATTTATATAACTCACATCCATGCCTCTTGTGTGTTTCGATTTGAAATCTAGTCCCTGTTGGTTCAGCGAAAAAAGCTTATTAAAATCTAAGTCAAAAGTTAACAATTAATTTTAATCNTTACTGGTATCTGTCCATTTTGCATATGTAAGGAATATTCTAACTTTTAAATCTATTAGATCTGCATGGGGCAAGCATTAAACTATGAAGGTCTTATATCACAGGTCTGAGCTGAAGAAATAGATAATTAATGACCTCTTCCTACAAATTTATTGCAGCGTTGCTAAACAACTGGAGTCTGCAAATACAATGTTCTCATTTATTTGGTGGATAATTGGTTTCTACTGGGTAACTGCTGGTGGCCAAAGTTTGACTCACGATTCACCACAACTTTACTGGTTTGTCCAAAGTTCCAAA